GGAGTGGGAGGCAGACTTCAAGAATACTGCAAAAGTATACCGATTGACCCCCAAAATTCTGGTAATCTCATTGAATACCGTGAATGGGCCCGTAATATCAGAGCAGTCAAATGTATAGCAGAAAAAGTCAATGTATAATATCAATGCAAAGCAGAGCCAATTCAATTCAATGGCGCGCAGCGCCGATGGGTTCGATGTTGCTTCTGACAACGGGAAGCAATCGGTAGACAGTTGGTGTTTGGGAGTATAGGAAGGGTTATGGTCTAAGACAAAAGTGGTTAAGCAGCAGTTGATATTGAAGTCATATATAGGGCATACACTCGTCCCAGGGGCTGAGTGTTAAGGGAAAGGTATACAGAAACGATGGAGACGTGGAGGTAACGGGCATTATAGGGGCATGTCCGGCCTACCTTATCGGGAAAGTCGGTTGGGCAGGCCTACAGGCCAGTCAAGAGCTCGGCTAGAAGGATTCTCTATCTGGGATGGTGTGGAGGCCGACGTAGGAGCCACGCATCTGCGCTTCCATTGTGGATAGAGCTCCCGAGGAAGACTTGTGGATCATATGAAATTAGGAATTCGCACGATCATGACGTTGATCACGCGTGAAGCTCGTCTCCCAAAATTATGACTGGGAAACCATCTACTGTGCTTGCCATTGTGCGACGTCGGACTCAGAGAAAGGCAGTACGCCTTCACGTATCCTAAGCATTTGGCACGCAGATATAGAAGTAGACAGCGAAAGCTCGTTGTTCTTTCAAGCGTCAACAAGAACGCACGGGTCCGTGCTCCGGGACAACGAGTAAAGTGTGACGGTGTTTCAAACCCACCTCCTATTTCGGATCGGGATCATCATCTCACCCAATCCACTTCACTGCTTTTATTTCTTTGCAAAATTGCTTGCTGCGAGCCTAATCGTCTTTTTGGCGGGTCGACATGAACGGTGGATGAATAAGCGTCAGATACGATTCATAGACTGAAAGAAATGGTAGGTGCGTGACTAACCCGCAGTATCTAGCGGCAGTGGTAAGAACAAACTCGTAAGGCCCCATGCCAGGAGGGACGGGCAAGAAGCAATCTCACCGAATGAGCCTACTACCTCTACACTTGGAAAGCTCGGCGGCATCGGAAAGTAGCCTATGGTATTTGACGCAGCTCCCAGCAATATTGGAGTCAGGTTCAATCTTCTTCTCATGAATCTAATCCACAAACGGGAACATGGCCTGGGTAGACTGATCGTCCTGTGGTCGTTTCGGCTTGACGGGCCACGACTTCTACTAATCTATCTTTGCAGGATCCTTCCAAGCTACAGAGTGGATTTTTTTTTCCCCATCAAATATGGGGATAAGATCGTTAGGCAATGTTGTCGTTCCCCCATGTGTGGCGAATGATATCTTACGAAGACTTTGGCCCAATGATCCCCTGGTTCTGGGTGGTTAGGCACGGCACTAGCCATGACTGAGGTTTCGGAGGGTTTACCTAGTATCTCGCGAAACAACGACACAAATGCGTGGCCTTGACACGAAGCTGCGGCTGATATCGAGAATTCACCACAGATGAGGCAGTCCCACGCTCTGCTGTATTCACATTCTTTCGTTATCAGCACTCATTTCCCCATGAGAGCCTCTATGTGCTTTCGCTGATCCGTGATGACCAGGAATTTGAGGTGAAAGTCGACTTCACGACCCTTGCCTTTGTTGCGAAAAGAGGAGTGCGTGAGAGGGCGCCGCATGACTTGTAGGGGTGACTGGGTTACATAGAGAGACGCTTACTGTCCCAAACAACATGCTACCATGTGTAGGTCACACATCTAGTGATTCGCAACAAACCAATGATATTTGACCGGAAAGCGGAGAGCGAGGTCGAGATCGAGAGGCTCAGAGTGGCAGGATCTAATGGTAGAAGATCATAGACTGTCGATGTTAGCCATCCCGAATCAGTACCCGGAGCCGTATTTGAAATCGACGTCAGACAAGATTAGGCCATCATTTCTCTTTGAAATTGCCAAGGTTCCCGTCCGGATAGCCTGTACCAGCTCGCCTATGCGGACGTCAGGTTCAGTGTAGATGCTGAGAGCACGCCATATTTATTTAACTTCATCAAAAAGCTACTCAGGAGGTGCAGTGAGAGCGGGTAGAGTGTGTAAAACAAGGCAGGAAATCCATGGTCTTGAAGATAAAAAGCAGCGTTCTGCGATGCAGAGCGGACTGTATATGAGGCCTGGCATCTAATGGGTGGCATTGAACACAGCTTCTCTGATGGATAGTTGCTCTCTTCGTCTGGACATCGCCGGCGTTTACACAGCAGCCCGCACAAATGTTCAAGTTTGATTTTCAGAACGCCCGCATCGCGCCCCTAGCAATTTCAAATGGGCTAGGATGATAAAAGAACAGTGCCTCCATCCAGGATTGAACTAGAGACCTCAGCATGTGAATATTTAGCGAGTAAACTTGCCGAATACGAGTGCTGCGCTCTACCACTGAGCTATAAAGGCAGATATTTGTTTTACGTCTCAATAAAAATATGAATTTACTAATTGGCAATCTATAAAAATCACCCGTCTCATCCCTTCATCGTCATATCATCGAGTTCGTGTTTTCAGGCCTCCTAGGATATTCTTAACATCCACTACGAATGCAGGACCTACCATAGCATAGTGCTGTCATAACAGCCAGCTGCTGGCGCTTCTCAGGTGGGGTCCGAGTCAGCCAGGCCGCCAGCCCTAGGGGCTTGTCGTGAAGGTAGCATGTTCTTGTTTGTTCTACGACGTTCGACGGTGCCCTAGCAGCCGCCCGTTTCTATCATCCCATTCGACGTCATTCTGGGCGACATCAGAAGGTTTAGGGCACCCAGTATATATCAAGGTGGAAGGCAGTCTTCATTTTTTTGCTACATAAACATATTTCCCTCCTCAACAACTACTTGGCTAACACTTCATGTCTCAAAGAGGACTCAATATCTTCGAATCTCTTACCGATAAAGCAGCCGAAGCTGTCGGTGCCGCCCTACACCTTGCCGTCGACAACTCTAATGCACAAAGTATGATATTTCGAGTTTAAAAAATTGTTTGCCTATTTGCCGACCCATTTCCCCACTTTCAGCTCATCCCGTTCATCTTGCGTCCGTGTTCCTCAACGCGGAACCCGATGTGAAAGAGCAACCGATCTTACATACCGCTATCACCAAAGCTGGAGGCGATCCTGTGAGTCTGGTATTGATATCTGCTCAACCCTCGCCCAAGTCCTCTGACGTTATCTGGGATAGGCTTTGGTCAACCGAGGTGTACAAAAGCAGCTCGTACGAATTCCGAAACAAGACCCAGCTCCGGCTGCCGCCGAGCCCACTGAGGCCTTCTCGAAGGTCCTGATGCAAGCGGATGGCTTGAAACGCAAAATGGTGAGTAATTGCTGCTCTATCTAGCCGTTGTCCCTGACACTGACCACATCTCATTCAGCATGACACCTTCATCGCTCAAGATCACTTAGCGCTCGCCCTCCTACACGACCCATCAATACTATCCATCATCAAAGATTCAGGGATCTCCGTGGACAAAATCCGAACTGCCATCGAGGAGATGCGAGGAGGGAAGAAGGTCGACTCCCGCACTGCGGAGAGCACATTCGACGCACTGAAGAAGTAAGCATTGCCACTCGGGATATCTAAAAGTGATGCTTCATAGTTACTCGAAACTTGTCTTAGGTACGCCATTGATCTGACGTCTCTGGCTGAAGAAGGATCAATGGATCCTGTCATCGGTCGGGATAACGAGATCCGTCGTGTCATTCGTATTCTCTGCCGAAGAACCAAGAACAATCCCGTGCTTATTGGAGAACCAGGCATGTGTTTTACTCGTAACGAAGCTCATGACCCATACTTATCTCTGATCTACTCCTACAGGTGTCGGAAAGACTGCTATCGCTGAAGGTCTTGCACAACGTATCGTCAAACGCGACGTTCCAGCTTCCTTGATCGGCCGGGTATTTTCCCTTGACCTGGGCGCTCTCATGGCGGGCGCTTCCCACAAGGGTGAATACGAAGAGCGTGTCAAATCCGTCTTGGATGAAGTGGCCAAATCGTCTGAAGATGGCCCTGGGGTGATCCTTTTCATCGACGAGATGCATCTGCTCGTAGCCGGGCAAGGGTCTGGGTCGATGTATGTTCTTGCCCACCAGCTCTTACCTGGGGGCTTACTAACGTGGACATGTTCTTTAGGGATGCTGCAAACCTCCTCAAGCCGTTGCTCGCCCGTGGCAAGCTCCGCTGTATCGGTGCGACGACACTCGCCGAATACTCCAAATATATCGAAAAGGACGCCGCGTTGGAGAGACGGTTCTCGCAGGTCATTGTCAAGGAGCCGACTGTTCCGGAGACGATCTCCATCCTCCGTGGTATTCGGGAGAAGTATGAGGTGCATCACGGAGTAAGGATCCTCGACCCAGCTTTGATCCAGGCCGCGCAGTTAGCACATCGATACCTTACACAGAGGAAGCTTCCCGATTCAGTGAGTGCTTTGGCATGATGATTTAGGTGCTAGCTGACATGAGTATCATACACTTACAGGCCATTGATCTTGTCGATGAGTGTTGCGCGAATGTGAAAGCCGAACGAGAAACTCGCCCAGAGGCGATCGACAACCTGGAACGAAAGAAGTTGGAGCTGAACATTGAGATCCATGCACTTGAGGTATGTACAGTGTTCTTTGACTATCAGCAGTCGCCTGACATTCTATTGACATTATTAGCGCGAGAAAGATCCAGCCTCGAAGGAACGACTCGCCATCGCTCAAAAGGCGCTCAGCAACGTCAACGAACAGTTGCGTCCTCTCGAAGCCACCTACAAAAGCGAGCGCCAATCGGCAGAGGAAATCAATGACGTCAAAAAGCGGATCGACGTGCTCAAGGCCAAAGCCGACGAAGCCGAGAGGAGGTACGACATCGCCACCGCCTCTGACATCCGATACTACGCTATCCCGGAATTGGAGAAACGTCTCGAGGTTCTCGAACAGCAGAAGTTGCAGGAAGACACGTCTGGAAATAAGATGGTCGCGGACTCTGTGACGCCCGAGGCCATCGCAGAGGTCGTCGCCCGATGGACGGGTATCCCAGTCGCGCGGCTGATGAGCTCTGAGGCGCAGAAGCTATTGCAAATGGAGAGGATATTGCAGAAGCAGGTCGTGGGACAGCCGGAAGCTGTCAGCGCAGTGGCCAATGCCATCAGGCTGTCTAGAAGCGGGCTGGCGAACTCGGCGCGGCCTATCGCGAGTTTCTTGTTCGCGGGCCCTAGTGGAACGGGGAAGACGCTGTTGTCCAAGACGGTGAGTGATACTTTGAAGATCTGTGCTACTGAGAGCTACCTTTGACTAAGACTTCTTCCTTAGCTGGCTATGTTGCTGTTCGACTCGCCTGACGCAATGATACGCATCGACGCCAGCGAATACTCGGAAAAGCACGCCGTATCCCGCCTCATCGGCGCCCCACCGGGATACGTGGGTCACGAGAGCGGCGGACAGCTTACGGACTATGTCAGGCGAAAGCCGTTCTGCATTGTCCTCATCGACGAGATCGAGAAGGCGTCTCGGGAATTCGTTACGCTCTTCCTGCAAGTCCTTGATGATGGTCGCTTGACAGATGGGCAGGGAAGAGTCGTCGACTTCAGGTGAGTGATTGGGCACCATTTTATATGCCGCTGGCTCGTGACTTATCCCTGTCGGTTGCCCATTAGAAACTGTGTGATCATCATGACATCAAACTTGGGTGCCGCGTACTTGAATGAAGCGGGCGATCAGCAGGGCGCCGTTCCGGAAGCCACACGCGAACTCGTCATGGGCTCCATCCGTGGTCACTTCCCTCCCGAGTTCATCAACCGCATCGACGATATTGTCATCTTCGTAAGTGTCTTTCCGATCTCTCGCGAATTGCGAAGTACCGATATATTGACATTTTTTTCTTGCATCTTCAGCGGACTCTTTCACTGGACAGTGTTGCCTCGATCGTCGATATTCGCCTTCGTGAGGTGCAGGCGAGACTATCAGACAAGAAGATTACGCTTCACCTCGACAAAGATGCGAAGCAGTACCTCGCGTCCATAGGCTACTCGCCGATCTACGGCGCTCGCCCACTGAACCGGGCGATCCAACACGACCTGCTGAACCCGTTGTCATTACTCCTCCTGGAGGAGCGAATCCGGGATGGCGAGAAGTGCAGAGTGACCTTTGACGGACCACACAATCGCCTGTTTATCCACCCTAACCACAAGGCCAAAGCGGTTGCAAAGCCAGAAGACATGGATCTTGATGAGGAGGATTTAGACGTTGCTGATGACGAATGGATCAATAGCGGTGGAAAGTGGGAGGGAGAGAGAACCTGAAGCAAATCACAATCGGAACAAGCATGAACGTTAGACCTGGGGTAGTAGACTGTTGATGTACTGTTATGGTGATATTGTAGTTATGCAGTTGTTGTCATCAAATCGAACCCGGTAGAACGGCCTCCACTTGGAAGCGCCCGTCTCGGACCCTGATTGACCATTTTGGCCACGATTTCATTCCTGACCTACCGACTAAAACCGCATATTTGGCAACGCCCTTCGAATGCCAAGTAGCAACGATCGCGGCCTACAACAACCAGGCGTCCGTCATAGACGCAGAGTCTCCATCACCACCGACGGTCTCGCGCATTCTTTCTCTCCTCCGTCTCCAAATTCCCTCAAGAGGGAGCGGTTGTCGAAGCAGCCAGAGGACCAAGACGACATGTCTTTAACATCAGCCGGCGGGACCGGGCTGCTTTCAGCTACGCATCGGACACCAACCAGATCGCGTATGTCAGATGAGGAGTTGAGGATGGGGCCGTTGTCAAACGGGGATGAGCATTACGAGCAAGTCCCCTTAATGCTGAACGACAGGGACGAAGGAATATATCAGGAGAAGATGGGTGATGAATCGAAGGAGAGCACAGGTCTCACTGTGAAAGATAGATACGCAGTCGCTCTGTTGATCGTGCTATGTGAGTTCTGTGCTTGTCTAGATTCCTGAAGTGCATCCCGTTGAAGGCCACGCGACGCCATCCGTCTCCGCTCCATAGATCTCATACAAGGCGTTCCTATCGGACTCGCATTCGGATCCATACCATTCCTTCTTAAATCTAAGTTATCATACTCGCAGTTGGGGACATTCTCGCTATCCACGTGAGTGGTGGACGCGTCGTGGCCTCCACGTAAGCATTTCCGATCGACGCGCCCTTACCGAACACTCTTCAATTTTTGGTAGCTTCCCTTACTCATTAAAATTGTTACACGCGCCCGTCGTTGATGCTATATACAGCAGTCGACTGGGGCGACGAAAATCCTGGATTGTACCAATTCAGATTATAATGGGCTCGCTTATGATCTGGATGGGGACGCAAGCCGCTGAGTTATTCGAAGCGGTATGTTGCAATGCTTCTGATGCTAGCCGTGCTAAAAGAAAAAAAGAAAGAAAAAAGTCACTCAAGCTTTTCA